ACTTTCCCACTTCTGCAACTCTGCTTTTGCTCTTCCGTCTTTGTAAAATATTGTCACTCATCCATTTTTCATCTATTCAGTCAACAAATTGGGCGTTTGTTACTTATGAGCCACCATTCTGGGCTCTGGGAACGTAACAGGGACAGACAATAAGCAAACAGAAACACAATGTATTAGTTATGAAGAACAGATAATGCAGGGTAAGGAGAAAGAGCCCACCTAAGGGTGGAGGGAGGGCTGGCTTTATAGAGTGGTCAGGGAGGGCCTCTGTGACATGGCAGCATTTATGCCGCGTCCTGAGGGAAGCACAGGAACGAGCCATGAGGATACCTGGAACATTTCAAGCAGAGGGACAACAAATGGAAAGGCTCTGAGGGACTGCAAGGAGGTCAGTATGTTTAGAGTGGAGTGAGAGTATGGAGAAAGGGGGGGTGTAGGGGTAAACAGGCAGAGTGAGGCGAAGAGCAAATCATATAGGGCCGAATTGGGCATTGAAGACTGGATTTTATTCTTAGTGAATTGGGAAACCATTAAATAGATTTGAGCAGAGGAGTGACATGATCAGATTTATATTTTTAAAATATTACTCTGCTACTAGGTAATGCTGGAATAACAAATTAACCCCAGTATCACAGTGGTTCAACACAGCAAATGTTAATATTCCCTCACGCTCCTAATCCAGTAAGAGACTGCAAAGGGCTCTATACCACAAAGTCACGTAGGATCCAGGTTGATGGAAGCTCTACCGTTTTGTGTTGGTGTCATCTGGGACCTACACCCTCCTCTACTGCCTGGGCTGGGAAAGAAGGGAGACTGGATAATGATACATGTGGATTACTTATTGCCTTGGCTCAGAAATGACGCCTGTCACTTCTGCTCAGATTGCATTGGCCGGAACGTGGCTCATCCTAGCTGCAAGGGGATTGGCAAATGCAGTAGAGTCCATGGAATGCTTGTGTTTGGCAAGCGCCACTATCTCTGCCACATTGGGGGACCAGTTAGAACCACTGCAATACACAAGAGAGGATGGTGGCTTGGGACAGAGTGGTAGCAGTGAAGGTGGTGGGAAGTGGGTAGAGTCTGGATGTATTTTGAAGCTAGACCCAGTTAAGATTTGTGAATGTCATGAATGACTCCTAAATTTTTTCCCATTCCCACCATCTTATCACCTATACTAGATATCATTTCTTTGACCTGGTTCATGTTTTTATCTCATTTTTCCATAGGCCCTGGGAAATAGATGCTCATTACCTGTTTATTGAATGATAGAACAATTTATTCACATATCTTTATTTTACAAAATCCACATTTTTTTAGATATGAATTACTAATTGCTGTTAGAGAATAGTTTAACAAATTCGTTGATTGGTTATTATAGTAATGATATGTATGAATGACATGTTAATGCTGTGGGCTTCAAAAAGAAGATTAAGAATAAAAATACCTTGTGGTTACTAGGGCTAGTTAAGAAATTGCTGTTTTTCACTCTGGTACATTTTGGTCAGTCTTTTTTACTTTTTGATCCTTCCATCATAGAAGAGTTTAAAGAAAATAAATCTATAAGATGTAAATTGAGGGTTAAATTTGTATTTCTTAATCTCACCCCAGAGTCTTTCACAGTAAACCTGTTTTACAAGTAAAGTGGTGAAAAGTTTAAATGCCCAGTTAACTAAAATGCCCAGTCAAATAAAAGCCCTTACATCTCTTATCAGATATCATTCTGCGTCTTAGAGTTCTTGGCTCTCTCAGGGAAATTAACTTAGGGTTGCATTTGTTTATACTCTATATTCTTAGTAAATGTCAGGTTATGTAGTTACTTTGATAGATCATTAAAAATAGGGGGAAAAAAAACTTTTCTGATGACACTGGTGATGAGATCAAGGAATTTAAACTCCAAAAAAATTCACTCACTTCTCATGGCCGACAGCAAGTTCTATGAAAACATAGACTTCGGGGTGAGGCCTAGACTGAATAATGCTGAGCAGACAGTCTACACGTGTGTAAGTAGATGGGTTATGCACCTGGATGTTGGAGCAGAGGACTTGCCCATGGACTGGCTGTAGAGGCCAAAGAAACGGGTGAATGAAGCCAGGGTGACTTCTGCACATCTTGGTATTGAAACATGATTAGGAGTTTGCTTTGCAAAGAAGAGAGAAAAGAGCATTTCAGCAAGATACGTAGTGACACCAAGGAAGAGGAAAAGTCTGTGTATCTGGAGCCTCAGGTGTGGGTTACAAGAAAACCGTGGGGCTACAGAGTTAGCTTGGGGCCAGCTTGTGGAGGTCCTTGAGTACCATGCTAAGAAATTTGGGGAGCTATTAAAAAGGTTTTTCTAAAAGGGAATTACGTGACACATTTATGAGGAAGATAAAAAACTAACAGGTGGAAAACGGCCTGTGTGTTATATCTGTTGGTCAGATTAAAGTTCAGCTTCCATTTATCGAGCACTTACTATGGGTAAGGCATTTTGCTGATTGTTTTACATATTATTTCATTTAATTTCTTAAAATGACATTGTACAGCAGTTGACAGTTTTCACAGTTTACAGATGAAGAAATGGCTTGAAGCGCATTGTCGAGTTGCCTGAAGTCACTCAGGGAGTGAAAATTAAGCATGGGTTTTCTGAGTTGAGTGCTCCTCCTGCTTGTCATATATTCCGGGGGTGGTTGACGATGGCACATTAAACCTCGGACAGCAGAGATGGCTTCTGGACCTGTCAGAGGGCGTAGAGACCCATTGCTTCTCCCAGGACTCTGCTTCCTGCGTGTGCGTGTGTGTATGTGTGTGCTTGTCCCTGTCCCTACCCTCTCGCCAGTCTATTGTTGAAACTCTCCCACGCCCCGCAGCAGGCTAGGAGAGTGTAAACAATTGGTCAGCTGGTGTATCCAAATAATTCCCCAAACTCATATTTCTTAAGGAAAAAATATAAGTGACTAGAAAGGCAAGGTTCACTGTTCTATATTCTTATTCATCCGTGCTTTTGTTCAGCATTCAGCCAGCGTGCACTCTATCATACACTCTGTCAGAGTCTGTGAGGAGGCAGAAATGACCAAATGGAAGCTGTGTGATGTACAGTGAAAAGGGAGCACGATCTTGGTAACCAAGGGATCTGAATTCTGGCTTTTACTCTTCTCAGTCACATGACGAACCTAAATGTATCACTTAACCTCCCTGGGGCTCAGTCTTCACATCCGCATCATGGGAGAAGTAGGGAGGTCTGTTGAACTAAATACAAGTTCTAGTATCTTGTGTTTCTCAGTCACAGGAAGGAGTTCACAGTTTATTCGGGGGACAAGACAGTAACATAACTAATACTTGCCAGTCACTGGTGGCTTCTGATTTACTTTTATGCCATAGGTGCTTGGAGGTAGCAATCTGGTAGGAAGAGGGGGCTACAGAACTTGTTTTGAAGCTGCATTTGCAAAGCAAACGGTTCGTTAGAATTCAATGGAAATAGTACTTTCCCAAAGGTACCTTTTACCAGTATCTATTATGGGATTGAGAAAATGTCAGCTATCTACATTATAAAACATTAATTTTGTGTAGAGAGACTTGGAGGGGGCTGATGGGAAATGGAAGGTGTGGTCACTGGTGCCATGTATTTATTGAAGCCTATGCCGACTTTTCAGAATAATTGGAGACGTACGGTGGCAGATTTTAAGAAATAATAAGAAAAATAAGATTTTGTCCTAAGGGACTCACTGTTTTTATTTTTTTTTAGAAAATCAACACAAAGTCCTTGTAAAGCTATAGTAAAATGTACTTGAGTAGTTGACAGGAGGCTAAAATCCAGGATCCAAAGCAGTGCAAATCAGTGAGGCCTGCAAAGGCCCCAGAATGGCTCAGAGGTGTGTGGTGCCTCCATCAAAATGGGTTAAGACTTGATTTTGTATTCTTGAGGGCAAGTGAGCCTAATATTTTTACTATTATTAGAAAAATATAACCCCTGCATACCTAACACAGTGCCAGTCACGTATCAGAATTCAATAAATACTTAATGAGTAAATGAGTGAAAACAACATTGTTATAGAAACTCTGGAAAGTTGAGAAGAACAAAATTGCTCATAATCCCAACACTTTAACATAATAGTCACTAATATTGTTTGTGTGTGGTGTGTATATATATATATATATTTTTTTGTCTTCAGCCATGTGCACAGGTATACTTCAGATTTTAGCATAAGCGTGATATAGACAGTTTCATAATTTCTGATTCCTAAAATTTAACATTTTATGATAAACATTTTCCAAATTGCTGTATTGTTTTTATAATTCTAATTTTAGTGACTGCATAATATTCTATCTAGTAATTTATCATAAGCTAGGTACTATTTTTCTTACTATTAAATGACAGATTGCTTTTGAAGCTGTATTTTTGTAGTCTTATTCCAGTTAAAATCTTCATACATGTACTTATTTTCTTCTTTTGAATTATTACCTTATAATAAATGATCAGAACTGGGAATTATGGTTGTAGAAATGACTCTTCCTTTTTGCACTGGCACCAATCTATTTGAATACTCATCACAACACCACCTGCTTTTGGGTATTAGCATTTAAAAAACTCTATATTTGCTAATTTAATAGTGCAAGTCGTACCCCACTTTTTGTTTTCTTCACAGAGGAAAAACTAGTATAACAAAAGTCCTATTCATTGGTTAAAGTTGTATATATTGAAATTCCACTTTTGTTCCCTCTAGCTCACCATGTCTTATTAAATATACCATATACAATCATGCGCCGCATAATGACTTTTCGATCAACGACGCATATGCACGTATACAACGTTGGTCCCATAAAATTGGTACCATAGAGCTTAGATGTGTAGTAGGCTATCCCGTCTAGGTTTGTGTATGTACACTCTATGATGTTCACACAACTACAAAATCGCCTAATGATGCTTTTCTCATAATGTATCCTCATTGTTAAGTGGCAAGTGACTGTATAATAATGTAGGGCTGGTTTGTCACACTGTTGTTTAATACCTTGTTTTTTTAAAGCTATCTGTGGAAGCACGTAAAGAGATGACTAGAAAGGCTATTAAGACAGTCAAACATTTTATTGAGAAGCCAAGGAAAAGAAATTCGAAAGAAGACATTCAAGAAGCTAGTGATTCTAAAATGACCTATGTAGATACCTTGAATCACCTGGAGAAATCACTTGCTCACCTGGAAACCCTCAACCATAGCTTCATCCTTTCTCTGAAGAATAGCGAACAGGTAATGAAGTGAACTCTTCCATAGGCTCACTTACTCAGATAACATCAGTATATTCTTTCATTTATCTTTTAAAGCTGGATTAGTCGTTTTGATTGGGTTTTCAGTCTTGCAGATACCCTTGAAATGGTCCTCAAACCTTTATCCTTTAGCCTCTTCATTATTGGTTGATTGTCAATGCAGTTTTCACTTCTTTTAGGATTTTAGGCCACTTAACACAATTGATAACCTGGGGAGGTGGGAGGTGTGGAAGTGGGAGAAGAGGGGCCTGAGGTGAACCCAGGATGGGTGCCCGGGGTGAGGGAGGGGTCCCTGAAGCTGACAAATGATGAAAAGACAATGGTTTGCAAGCTCTCCTTATAGCTGGTAAGTGTTTTGCTCTCCAGCGGAATAGTGATAGATTTTTTCCCCCTAATTTTTAGAAAAATTCAGAAAGAGCCACTCATACCTACTTCAACAGGTTTTTTTAATATGTTCTCATCTTGTTTTTATGTTGCATGTTTCCAATATAACTTTATTACTGATATGAATTTTTTGCCTAGTAGGATTGTTCCTAGTTGGTTTCTAGTTGAGACCCTCATGTCTGCAAAAGCACTGTCATGAGAATCAGGAGCCCCGGCCCTGAGGAGGTTTGAGGACCAGTGTGTAAGGACTGCTTGCAAAAACCCTCAGGAGCCTTTGGCCCTTTTGTTCTGCATTGTCACACAGAACAGTCGTGGGATTTTTAGATACTCATTTCCATAACTGAAAAGTTGACGAATCAATAAGTAAAGGGTTTTCATATAGGTGGAAACAATGTTTAGATATATAAATAATATTCCATTTGCACCTTTAGTGCTATGGTAAATAAACCTATGAGTGGCTGCTAACCTCCTCTGTTATTTTTCTTAGACCTTACATGTTTATTGAATTATATTCTTGGCTTTAAAAAAAAAATTCCTGAATAGAAATATCAGTCAGTGGAGAGGAGTTCAGATAATGAAACAAATGGACGTCTTCAAAATTTGTATGAGACACATAAATGCACACCCGTCATGGAAAAGATAATGGGAAGAATTCAAAAATTTGAAAACAGTTTTATTTCATTTTGTATTTTTCACTGCCTATTAGCCTGTCTAATGAATAGCTTTAAATAATGGTATGACCAGTATAGAAGCCTTTGCAGGGAACAAATTGGCTTTACCCTGGATTTTACCCTGCTGACATTTACAGTCCAATAATCCATAATTACAAGAACTAGGGTAAACTTGGAATCTTCAAGTAAAAGTGATTTATACTTATTAGTATAAAAATTTTAAAATACTTGTCTTATTTATTTTTTTAATCAAATACACTATGTTTAAATCTGGAGAATTGTCATTACTCTCCTTGGAATAAGTATTGTCTTTCAGTGATTAGAACAGTGTGCCTGGGCCAAGAGGGTAATTAACAAAAACAGCCATTTGTTTCAACTAGGCTGTGATTTAAAGGCACCAAATGGCTACTTGCAAATGCTGTTCAGTCAGACTGTGGATGGTCTGTAGTAGACTCTTCTGGTTCCTAAATTGGATGTTACTTGATTTTATTAAGGCACCTTTCATAGCAAACACTGAAATAACCTTCAGCCTTATACATTTGTTCCTTTTAAGTTCGGGCCTTGATTGTAACCTCTTTAATAATATACCCAGTGAAAGAACATCTGATATATTCGGGAAGGTTAGTGCAGTCTAAATTAAAGGCCTCCATCCTGTGGAGCCTCAGTTCCCTCTTGTCTCGGTAGGGATACTAGTAATTGCCCTACCGAACTCATAGGCACTTTTTTTTAATAGAAAGTTTCACAATGAAGAGAACAGTAAAGGAAATCTCATGTGCCCAACTCCCAGCTTCAACAGTTATCAAAACGTGACCAATCTTATTTCATGCGTACCCCTTCACCCCACTTCTGTGGATTATTTTAAAGGAAATCCCAGTCATTTCATTTTATCCGTACATACTTCCATATCTATTTCTAAAAGATACCTTTACGCATAACCACTACAACATTATCACAATCAAAAAAACTAATAGTAATTCTTTAGTATCATCAAATGTCCACTTAATGTTTAGATTTTCACATGGTTCTTTTGAAAGACAAAACAGTATAGTCAGGATTACTTGTGAAACTATGAAGAACCTGGAAAGTGTTATTAACGTTAGTGACCATATTTGGCATAATGAAAAGCAAAAGTTTGTGTCCTGTTTCTTAAATTATTTGTTGTCACGTTAGTTTGTACAGATATTATCAAAGAGGGACAGGCAGTGTGACGAGGTGGATGGGGGAAGGAGACTTGTATTCTAATCCTAGCTCCCTTAATGGCAGGCTGGGTGACCCTGGGCATATTAACTTAACATCTTTGGTTTTCAATTTTCTTTTTGATAAAATGGAGCTCATTAAAACTCCTTGCAGGATTATTCTAAGCATTAAATTAGATAACATATGTACAGTTCCTGGGTTTACAGAGTTGATGTTCAATTGATTATAACTGTTATGTGGTTGTAGCAAAATAATAATAATAGAGAAACTTGCCCTTAATGAGCATTACCTTGTGCTAAAGGACTCACTTTTTTGTTATCTCATTTAATGTTCCCAACACCCTCTATTCAAAAGAACCTATTGTCCTCATCCTCGCATTACAGATACTGACGTTTGAGGTCATAAAGGCCCACTAACTAATAAAAGGCGAAACAAGGATTTGCACTCAAGCCTGGTAACCCTGGAGCCCAAGTTATTAATAACCACTGCATGTTCTTCAGTGTGGTTTGTGGTTGTAATGTGTTTGCTTTGAGAACCTTCTAAATATGTTTACTGTGTACATGTAGACACATTTAATTTCTATTGGATATTTAGGTGTTGTACCATGTTTTTGCAGGAAATGCTGCAGAAATATAGTAACCTCTATGATCTGTCCCGATCAGAAAAAGGGAAAATTCATGATCAAGCTGTGGCCATGTGTTTAGATGGTCAGCCTCTAAGAATGATTCAGCAGCTGCTAGAGGTGGCTCTGGGCCCTCTTGACATCTCGCCCAAGGATATAGTACAGAGTGCAATAATGAAAATAATTTCTGCATTGAGGTAAGCTATAAAATAGTCATTGAGGAAAACCAGAGGTGATATTTTGCCAATAATAGTGCTTGTTTTGTGGTTGTTATGGAGATAAAATATCATCATGCGTGTAGAAACATTTTATAAACTATGAAGTACTTTACAAATGTGGAGAGAAAGAATTTTATTAGATTTCTCAAAGTCTTGTGTCTTGAGAACAGAGAACCATGAAAATGTTTCATCATTGTTATTGTGTGTAATATGTCAAGAAACTAGCTAACTTCTGGTTAGACACTCTTCCTCCCAAATTATTCTTGAAATAAGGGAAAGGCCAAAATGGCATGTGAAGCAGCTAAGTGTCAAGTTGTCATGTGACTTCAGTGTGAATTTTTCAGATCTTGCCTTTTCTAATTCCCCTTCTTTGTAGCAGTGGAAAAATGGTTCCCAGAAGGTTCTTTTGAAGTACACAAGGCAAGGTTAATCATATACTGAAGAAATTAGACATCTGTTAAGTGTCTTAGGACATTATTTACCTGCAATTAATGGCATAAAACCGGCAATTGAGAAATTCTAGCTCTATGTTGATATGCTGGTCTTCGTAGGAATGCATCCAAGAGGATTAGAAAAGAGGGGAAAGTTACGCTGAGAAAATAATGAGGCATCAAGTGCTTTCTGTGAATAATACAATTAGGCTAAAAGATTTAGTTGTGTTTAATTTATTCTCCTTTTAAGCATTCTTTGTAATTCTGTATTGCTCTTGAGGAACTTTTTGATTAAATGCATGTCAGTTTTCAGCAGCTGAACCGAAATCAAATGAGCCTTTATCAGTTTAATTAACCAGGCTCATACAGTTTTCACTTAATGCTCTGAGGTATCTGGTAATTTTATATATAGAGAGAGAAATAAAATATCATAACATTTTTTAGAAATAACAAATGCCAAATAATAAAGCTTTGTCCTATTATTAACGTTATGTTTTGATGGTGGTGGTGGTGGTTATGAGAACCACTTTCCTCTTTCGAATGATGACAGATACTTGTTGGCCACATCTTGTACCTTTTGAGTCATAGTTATCTTTTTATTGTTTCTTAAATCGAGATTTAGGTGAAGCTCACAAAAATAAATATTTTGAAAAATTAGTGCGTTGATGAATTTAGTTGATTTCCTAAAAATTGCACATTTTCATTAAAATAAAATATGATGTGTGATATTTTTACATTTATAAAATTCTGACATAAATTATACTTCTCTCTCCTCCCCTGCACTGAGTTCTATTACTAAAGATTTGGTTCTGATCTAATAAATAGTATGCTGAGCACACAGAAGACATTCAGTAAATGTGAACTAAATCTCAGTGGTGGAAGGAAAGGGAACATGAGGAGCTCAGCTACCTCTTTTTCAAAGGAAAAGAAATTTCTCCTGACAATGTTCCTAACATTTGCTTTAGAAAGTTCGTAAAATTTAGTGGGTATAAAATAACAAAGGCATGAAAGTAACTGAATCCAGCAGTTGATTTTAATCATATCACTTACATTATTCAGAAAAGTTACCTAAAACTTCTTTTTCCTGTGTTGCATTTTTGAAATTCACTAGAGTTCCAGACATACACATTTGTAAAATGAGCGTAATCGTAGTACCTGTCTCATGGGCTATTGGGATTATTAAATGGCAGAATGTATGTAAAGCACTTAACAATGCCTGATACCTGGTAAGTACCATGTAAAAATTAGTATTTTGAAAAAAAGACAAATGGAGAATTTAGATGATTATTTCATATTTAATGCTTAAAATAGCTGATGTATTTAATGTTGGTTGAATGTTTTTTGAATGACAACATGCAAATAGATCTTGTTATTCTCTTGAATATATTCAAGCATATATTAGACTGTGAGCTCCTAAGGGCAGAAAATGTTTCATTTCCATATCCTCAGTCTATAGCTTAGGGCTCGGTACATTTGTCGACTGCATATCCCATGGATGGCTGTGAGCTGGCAGTATACCGTGTCCGAGTCCATCTGGCTTCATCAGAGTGTAAAGGCCAAACGTATTTCTGAGGCTTGAGCGACACTCTTCTGAATCAGGTCTTCTCTCTTTCCCTTCACAGTGGAGGCAGTGCTGACCTCAGTAGGCCAGGGGACCCGCTCCAGGTCCTGGGAGGTGTTGTTGCAGCAGTCCGTGCCAGTGTGGACAGTGGGTAAGACTGGAACATGTTTGTGTATCTCATTAATGGCTTTCCTCAGCATCTTAGAATTACTTTTAATATCCATATTTATGAAGCTCCCAAGACTAAGCAACATTTCTAGGCGTTTCTGAAGAAAGAGCTGAGCACTTTCTGCACAACTAAAGAGTGGCTCTGCGTGTGGAGACTTGGTTTCCCTGGCTGTGTGCTTACCCCATCATCTCTGGCAGGACGCTCGCTGAGCCTTGTTTGCCGTGGAGGGCACGCTCTCTTCTTATCCCTTCCTGTGGAGACCAGGGAGGGGAACTGCTTTGAGCTTCTTAGAAGAGAAGGATTCACATCCCCTAGAGGTTAACTGTGTTGATTAAGCATGGAAAATCCTAGAGTGTATATATTATATTATTTTTAATAAAGCTTTATATATGTTAGATCTGTCTTGTCTGAGGACAAAGAGTATTCAGGCCTTCTAAGTCTACAAAGGTGTGTTTCTAATGTCATTTTTAGAAAGACTTTTTCATTCAAGTGCAATAGTAGCAATAGGAATAATAGCAACAACAAATTAACAGCTATGTACTTCCCAGAATTTACAAAGATCTTTCATATGTCTAATAGCCATGTCAGCCCTGTAAGGCCTCACCCCAATTTTCTTTTTTTAATGGAAAATGTTATGTAATAATAATAAAGATATGTTTGAAAAAATTCCCCATGCTTCCATTCAGTGATATAATTGTTTTTATTTGCATATTACCTTCTAGTTATTGTTCAGTACCAGATACATTTTTGTATAGTTTTGATCAAAATCTATAAACACTTCTATTTTATTTATTTGCTATTGTAACTCTTTCCATTTATCTTTGTGGATTTAATGATTATTATTTTTTTTTTCAATTTTTTTTTTATTGCAGTAACATTGGTTTATAACATTGTATAAATTTCAGGTGTACATCATTATACTTCTATTTCTACATAGATTACATCATGTTCACCACCCAAATACTAGTTACAACCCATCACCACACACATGTGCTGAATTATCCCTTTCGCCCTCCTCCCTCCCGCCCTTACCCTCTGGTAACCACCAATCCAATCTCTGTCTCTGTCTCTATGTGTTTGTTTGTTGTTGTTGTTATTTACTACTTAATGAGGGAAATCATACGGTATTTGACCTTCTCCCTCTGACTGATTTCACTTTACATAATACCCTCAGTGTCCATCCATGTTGTCACAAATGGCTGGATTTCATCGTTTCTTATGGCTGAGTAGTATTCCATTGTGTATATTTACCACAACTTCTTTATCCATTAATGATTATTATTTTTGATGGCTGCATATGTTGTTGCCATTTTCAGATGAGGATAGAAAGGCTCAGAGAGAGAAATTGACTTTTCCAAGAGTCACAGACCTGGGAAATAGAACCAGGATTCCACTCTGGCTCTAAATCATAATTTAGCTCCCAGATGCCTTGATAGCATATTTCTACGCATTGCTGTGTGTCCGAGGTTTGAGTGAAAGAATAAAGGATATGCCGTATAGGTGAATATGGAAAGACATTGCAAGCAGGACCCACTACTTACTCTGCCTTTTGCCTTGCACAGTTTCTCTAAACCCCTCTGCTTGTGGTCTGTAGGTAGTAAGGAAGCTACAGCAGTGGCTAATTTAGGCCTTATTCTAAAGAGAAATTTATTTATTTTCTGCGTGTTTACCGTGTGCCATGCTCTATGCCACGTCATGAGGAGTTAGATATGAGTAAGATATAACCTCCAACCCCAAGGAGCTCAGAATCTTGCAGGCATAGCCCTAGTTACTATACTATAGAGTAGTAAGTGCTATGCAGAAAGCAAGGTGGAGGGAGTGGTTTATTCTGCCTGGAGAAGTCAGGGCAGGATGCACAAGGGGTGACCTTGGGTCTTGTCTATGAAGTAAGAGTATGTTAGAAGGAGGAGGTGGTTAATGGTACTCCAGGCTGAGGAAACAGCCTGAGCAGCTGCAGATGCATTGGATAGCAGAGCAGGCAGAGATGCTGCATGGGGAACACTTGCCACCTTCTAGAGGAAACATCTAGCTGTTGCCATTCCCGTCACAGCTTGTCAGTCAGTTCTCAGGCAGCGGCCCCCCAGTGAGCTGCTGTCAGCAGGGCCGCTGCTTTCAGGTGATGCTGACCTGGATGTTGGCCTCACATGATGAAAGGGATCTTAACGAGCACGGCTTTAAGCCCCTTCCCGTCGGGTCCCTCAGTCTTGTCCCGCTAGGGACGTCTCAATAAGATTAGAAGGCAGTGTTTTTCTTAGTGAATTTCCAGCCAAATGTATAGAAGAATCCGACTTGGATCTCTTGAATACAGACTGTTTTTCTTAAGCTTCGATTTCCAAAGAGGAAGACATCACGGAATGGGGAAACCGAATAAGCTCTTACTTTTTATTCCAGAGACACAGAATAACAAAGGCTTCTTAATGGGAAAAAAAACAAAAAAAAAAAAAACAAAAAAAACTTCAGTGAAAAAAAGAACAAGAGGAAGAAAGACAAAGTCATAACTTTTATTCCTGGCAAGTGTTTTTTGAATCCACAGAGTTAAACCTGATACCCTTGGCTTCAGTTTCCCTTTTCAACAGTGTGCCTGGCAGAGTCACATAGGGGAGTCCCTCTCTCTTTTCCAGATAGTTCCCATGGAGTGACATGTGGATTCAGGCCCTTTTAAAGTAACCCTCTCAGGTCACTCATCACTTGGCCTGACATGACTGCCTAACCTCTAGGAGGCCTCTGTGCTCCTCACCCCGCCTTGGTGACATAACAAGCCTCCCTCAGTCCCAGCCCTGTGACTTCAACATCCATTGCCCTCCATGGATGTCTTTGACACACACGCACATGCACACACACACTCTCACTCTCTCAGGTTAGGCATACACCATCCCATAACATTCCTGGCAGGGAAACTGCATAGGAAGGTAAGAATTTGGTTGTGTGTGTTAATGGCTACCACCAAGTGTTTGGTTTTGTGCTTAATTTTTAGGCAGTTTGTGCCGTTATCAGCATGTCCTTCCTCCTTTGCCTTTTTCTGTTGGTACAGAAAGTGTTTGCTTTGTAACTGCAGCTCCTCCCTCACCCAGAAAGGCCCTTTTCTCTCTTCTTTTACCTGTGCTAAGTGTAAATCATGTAAAACAGTACCACCCAGACAGGCCACCAGTGGAGCCTTCAGTGGCCTGCACAGACAACCTTCCTTTTCACTTTAACCACAGTCTTGCCTCCAGACCTCAGGGTTAAGTGTTCTAGGGATTTGAAATAGTGTCAAAAACCTTTATAACATCTACAATTAAAGATGAGATTAAGGTAATTAATTATTCAGAGGATCGTGCATATTAAATTTATTTTATGAATGTGTGTGCTTTCTCCCGTTATTTAAGTATGCCTATAAGATCATATTTTGAGAGTATAATCTGTATGTCTAGTTTGTGTTAAGAATTAGTTCATTAGTTTGCTTAAGAAAAATAAGTATTTTTTAAAATTCAATAACTAAAATAATAATATTCTAAAATAATATATCCATTAAACCTAGAATTAAGAAAATATTATCTCATATTTAAAAAACAAACTAATGAACACCTATTACTCTACAGCAAGACCTTTGAAAGGGCTGTTCAGCAACTCACTCAATCCTCAGAACAACCCTATCATACAGATACTATTACAGATTAGGAAATGAAGCTCAAATGAAGCTTGCCTCACCCAGGTAAGGATGTGCTATGAATTCCTCTCACCATATTTCAGCTCCTTCTGAGGTTACAGAGCCAGCAATGGACAGTAAGGTAGGGCTTCTCAAACATCATTGTGTATAGGAATTGCCTGGGGATCTTATTAAAATAGAGATTTTACTTGAGTAGGTCTGGGTGGGGCCTAAAATTCTGCGTTTCTAACCAGCTCCCAGCTGCTAGCTAGCGCGTGGGCTGACCTTTGAGTGGCAAGGTCTTAAGGCGTCACTTCCCGAAGCTTTCTCACCTCTTCTCTCTGCCTTCGCCTTGATTTCCTTTCTACTCCCTGTCTTCATTTACCTTTAAAAAATTTTCCTAGCAGGCATGACCCACAAGCATGAACCGGTAGATTAGTGATTCTCAAAAGGATGTGCAGAATTAAATCCACTCAGAAAACAGGTAATTAATGAGGAATTCCTCTGTGCACTATTCAAAAAGGAAAAAAGATTTCCTTCAAAACTATTGAGCATTTTAGGAGTTTTTGTTTATTTAAATAGCTGCTTAATCACAGTTCCAGCTTCAGCTGTCTTAAAGCTTCAAGTATATCGAACAGTGTTAGATCATTGAGACTTCGTTGAACTCTTTGGTATTACTTCGGGATTTCACATTATTTTTAAAGCACAGAAAAGACAAAAAAGAAAAAGGAAGGAAGGAAGCCCACTAGAGCACACTGAATCTGATTTCTTCTTACTCTTCATGCTCTGTAAGGCAAAGTAAATCATCAGATATTCTTTAAGCACCCACGGTGTATGGGTGTTATCTTCTGTAGTGCTGAGCCTTGCTGAAAGCCGTGGTCACCAGCCAGGATGGCAGATCCACTCTACCACTGCGGTGTTTCTTGGGACCACCTCAGGCCATGTTTGTTACTTCACAGCTGCCATGTCTGCCTCGTTACAGTGAGATGTGTCCATGCTTTTATTGAGAAATGGACCTCAGAAAGATACTCTGGATTGGCATACATTTGAGAGCAGCCGTAAAGTGGTTCCTAGTTTTTATCAAGTTAAGATTTGAGATTGGAATTGTGTGTACACCAAAATTATTGCCTTTCTAGGAATTTTTTAAAAATATAACTTGATTATGATAATTATTTGGAAAAAATCACACTTTTTCTACTACTGCAGTACCATTAACACATTATGCATTCATTTATTTGCAGTTCTCTCTACTGCTTGCCAGTTGCCCCAGTTGTTTCATAGGAGCTGATAAGTAGAAGACATTATCCTGGGAAATAGCTGCTCTACCCAGCTCCATATGTAGTGAGGAAAGTGTGTG